TCCCACATGGCACCATCGGCTCTTTCTTCTGTGTTTTGTGGCCAGTGGAAGCGCTTAGGAGAGCAAACAATGCTAGTTGGGTTGACCATATCTCCTCTGTGCCACTCCTCACTCAAGTATTACCATGTCCTAATGCGAGGGCAACACTGAAGGTGTTTTCCTCTCCTGCTAGGTAAGGTGTAGGCAAAGGTAAATGTGATGAGAACATAGTTAGCAGGAAAACATGGTTCTACCTCTGTGTTATAAAAACAGACTCAAACCACTAAAACAAAATATCAAGGCTGAGGAGCACAAACATGCCACTGATGGTTTTTGCTGTTGGTAGAGGTTAGAAGTCAGCAGGTACCTCTCAAGAATTAAAAAAACCCACAGGATTTGTTTTAATAGCATTCAAATCCCAAATCAGGACTATGCTTTTAAATCTGCTTTGTGAAGTGTAGCACAACCACAACAACTCCAGCAGTGTCCCTGACTACAACACCCTTTAATCTGGAGCAAGAAGGCTGGTATGTTGGACCTATGCTTGAGTTTGAAGAATCAGGCTCTTGGACAGCTGAGGATTTAGGCAATGCTTTAATTGGTGTGGATCAGTTACTAAATAAAATACTGAACTCAGCACAAAAGCTGGAGCATAAAGTCAATAACAATAGATGGGGCTAGGAGGGAAAAAACCCAAGAGGTGTCAGCTTTCTGACACCATGAAAAGCTGGAAGGTTACTTCACCATGCAGTGAAATAGCTTCATGCACAGAATGCAGCCTGCATACCGGGAGGGGATTAATTTTTATGAGCAGAAGTGGAATAAGGAATTCTTTAAATAAGGCCCACATGTAGAATATGAAAAAAGGCTGCAAAGAGGCTCATCCTTCAAGGAGTGTCAACCTTGGAAAGACTGGGGAAGGCCCAGCTGTGCCCCAGCAGCTGGTACCCCACAGACTCTGAAAGAAATTGGACCTGGCCCCTCACTGTGATATTATGGGGGCTGTTTGCAAAATGGGGGACTGGTCCTTGTCCAGTTGGGTCGTGACATTTGGATTCTACTTGGCTGCATTTCAAGTGCACATATTGAAAATTACATCCTTCAGCAGTGGGATGAAGTTGCCATCTTGAATGGAAGAAGGTCTATTTATAACGACTTTGTAGGTATTTTTAAAGGCCAATAAAAGAAAAAAGCATGGCAACTGGCCTATGTGTAATGTGACAAACAATGCTTAGTGGGTTTTGATTGGGAATAACTACATTTCAGCGTAGCACAGGTGCACGCTCCCACATGCACAATGTGGTGACATCTACCCTTTCCCTTACTGAATTGATCACAGTCAAGGAAGCAAGGCACCCATGTTATACCAAGATCCTCATTTGTCACACCCACAGGAATGTTCAGAATAAAGAAAAAAAAAAAAAGAAACAACAAAATTCAGGGTATAATTGAAGTTAAAAATATAACTATGGTTACGTGGTTATAACCATATATATATATATTAAAATATAACTATGGTTCACTATCCCTCCTATAGCCAGTCTGCTGATATTTTGACTGAAACCTTACCATGGCAGAAGATCACTCCTCTCCTCTGTAAGAAGTTCCTAATGTATTCTGAAACCCATGTAGGGCCATTAGCCAGCATGATTTCGGGTCATCTCTGATCTTTCACAACAGCAGTGGAACCAGATGCCCTGCTTATCTCTCCCTTCCAAACTACTTTGGATACAATAAATAGCCACAGTAAAATATGGACTAGTCCTGCTTTCAGTGAGTTCAGCATAGCCAAACTACTACTGATTGAGAAGGGAAGAAGATCAGACCCTCTTTACTATGGGTATTCAAGGTAATTACTCACTTATGAGCTATAAAATTCAAACAGCTTAATTAAAACATATTACTAGTGAATTCTGTTCAAAGTTCTCTTTTTATGCCTTTAGTGAAATACATGTTAGAGCGTTCATATAGGACCCCTTCTGAAATGTAGCATTTATGGGAGTACTGCATTGTCTTAAGCACCAAGACTTGTTGTATGGGTTGAGTGCGGATCCGTATTCACCAGCAAGCAGCAGCAGATGAACAAACAGCTATGGCACCTTTTTAGGGCATCTGCAGTTCTTCCAAGATGACTGCACCTGCAAGCCAGCATCATGACTGTGCAAATCTGAAGTGAGTTCTGTGCCAAGGCTGCGGTACAATGACACTAAATTCTGAGACCACCACAGAGAATGCAGGTAGTGATGAGACTGCGTTGTCCCAGTGTTTGCAAAACACCATGTTTCTGCCTTGGGGAAGGAGGGCAAAGGTGGAGGGTTTCTCAGGTTTGGGAGCATGATCACCATTTTCAACAGGCCAAGACATCATCCCTGATATTTTCTTCACCACCTTTTAGTAAGTTGCATCCTGCTGCTGTTAAACTATGTGACCTATCAGTGAAATATGGTCACCTCTATACAAACCACAGATAGTCAGCTCTAGTCCCACCTATATCCAGGAGGAACTGGACAGGTACCCCCATGTACAAGGGGAACCCCATGCCAGCAGAAGTCACTTTGCAGTGGTGCGAGTTACACCAGATGACAAGGCAGATACTTGGGCTCCTCCCTGGTGCTGGGCAGATGGTCTAGGGCAGACTTCAGCCTCCTCCCCCAGTGATGCTGGTTTCCACTGTTTTTAGTGTGTGTGATGCTGCCTCAATGGGCTGCTGGTTTCTGCTGTGTGGTTTTCAGTGTCTAGAGGACAGACCACTTGGACCCCCAGAGGAAGCAAAGCCACCTTCAAAAGTTTCCTGTCTACTTGTCCCTCAAATAATGAAGATGCATAAGACAGGCAGTTTAGTTATTTATTTATAGGTTCTTCAGTGACACTTATCATGGCAACATCAGAGTGGCAACAGCCTGATATGCTAACAGGCAGTGGTGCAACCCTATCCTGCTGGCTGGCCATCCCAGAGAAACCTCTGCAGCAGACACTGCTGTGTCAGGCAGGGAGCGGAGGAGAGCTGACGTGCCATGGCAGAGGGAGAGGAGCCAGTGGTCTCCCTCAGCCCTGTCCACGCCCTCCTGCACCACGGCCCCCCTGCCTTTCCCCTCTGTGAGGGCTCTGGAGGCTGCTGAGCAGCCACGGGTCGTGGCATCCCATGGTGTTCGCTAAAACATACGGCTGGGGGAG